TAATAAAAAATAAAAATATTTTAAAAAATACACTTATTTGTTTTTAAATATGTCCTTATTAGTCATTTAATGTTAAACAATAATCGCTAATTATTATATAGTCAAACAGTTATATTTATTGAATCCGTTATTTACCATCCGCTACTAACTTTTCGTTATTCGCTACCTGTTATCCACTATTTACTGAAATTTAACAAAGTTGGGTGGCTCAAGAAAGGAGATGCACCTTGGGTGCATTGACAATGACAGAAACTTGGGAAGTATTTAAAGGAGAAGATTTCTTGACACAGACTTAGTTGCTACTCTTGAAGAAAATGGGAAAAGTAAAAAAGACACCTCTAGTGTTTGTCAAGTTAACAAATTGGTCTTTGGTAGGTTAGTTGTTACTATTCTTATATCCAAAAACACCCTTATTTTTTTTTAGTATAAATTGTGTATGTGTGCAGAGGTGTAATATGTGAGAAAATAGTGAGAAAAATAGAAAGTATGGTTTAAAGCAGTTCTCCATTCGAGATACTAAAGATTTGAGAGATTTGGATTTTGATTTGAAAATTGTAATCCTACAATTCAATAGTGCATTGATTTGCATCTAGGCAAATGCCCTGTGATTTTTTCATTTTGGGTTTTCCACATAAATCTCTGGTGTCCTTTTATTTTATATTTGATTTATTTTGATTATTGGTGGTTGGTTTAGTTTATTGAGGGATTGATTTTGAGCATTGGTGCTTTGAAACCTCAACAACTAGTGATTCTTGAGTCTAGCAACTATGACAGACGAAAAGGATGGTTTAACTATGATTAAATTGAATACTTCCAACTATTCCTTGTGGAAAACTTTGACAGAGGACAAGCTGTTTTGTAAGAACCTTTATAACTTAATTGAACACAAAGGTATCAAACCGAAAAATATCAATGATTTTGATTGGAAAAAGATGGATTGTAAAGCTTGTGCTGTAATCTGCAAATGGTTGCCATGAGTGTGACTCATCATGTGGCTCAAGAGAAAAAGACTTATAAATTGTTAACTAAACTTGAAAAGCAATTTGAAAGAAAGAATGCATTAAAGAAAGCATCACTTATTAGAAAACTAGTCACTCCCAAGTAAAAGAATGGCAAAAATGTATCTGTGCACTCGAATGATTTCCAGGAAATCTTAGATGAACTAGTTATAGTTAAACTAGTTATAATTTCCAAGAAATCTTGAATAATTTTGTTTTATCGTT